GCGGGCAGCGAGGGGCGGCGCGCGCGCGAGGGCCGGGCTGCGCCCTGGAGCGCGAGGCCTGCGGCTGCCTCGGTTCTCCAGCCACCCGCCCGGAGGGTGGTGGTGGGGTGAAGGTCGGAGGCAGTAGCGCTGAAAGCTGGCGACCCGGTCACCGGGCGTCCCCCCAGCACCGCCCAAGAGGCGTGGCGCAGACCTTCCGGTCAGAAGCGTGTCCGCGGGTTGCTCTGGCCCCGGGGCTCGTTGCCTGGGTTACCGAGCGCGCCGCCCCGACGCTCCGCCGGCGACGCCCCGCCCCTGACGACTGTGGCTGCCCTCGGCATTGCCTGAGAGACCGCGTGCCAATTGGAGGGTGATTACTTTGGCAGAGCTGCAAAGACGGCTTTTGATTTGGGGAACGTCCTTCCTGCTAGGGGATACGGCACCTTGGCAGGTGAGGTGACAGACTAGTGGCTCCTTGGTGCTCAGGCTTGCTCAGGGCGACCGGCTGAGTGGGGGGCCTCCGTGGCGGGTCCTGCCAGCTGTCAAAATGGCAGCGCCCAGTAGCCACGGGTCCTGCTGAATTGGGAGATCAGGTTCCTTTCCTATAAGCCAGCGAGCTTGCTGCACTTCTGATTTTGAAACCCTGAATCTAGGTTTCTCTGGAGAGTGGCGGGTGAGTGGTGGCCTTGCTGCGGTGTGAGAGTGTGACGTACACTGTCGCGGGGGTTTGCGCTTGGCTGAGATTTTCCCATTTCCGGGTTATTCCTTACGGCTTTTGAGATTTCACTTCTGATTCAAGAATCTAGAGTTTCGTAGTGCGTTAAATAGTGCGGAAAAAAATAAAGAAAGCAGAACCTGGACTATAAACGTTGTGATTACCTGGGGAGACTTTTAGAGCCTTAAGGACTTGTGACCATTTTAGATCTAAGCGAGGCTGTCCCTTGGATTTTCTCGGAAAACTTCAACTTTTCTGAATCAGAGTCTGAAAGTGGTGGAAAATTTTCTCATGCTGAACTTTGAGGGTGGGATTGGGCCTAGGGAAGTCTCGCTGGTTCTAATTACTGTGTTTTGAAAACACATCTTGTTATTTTTGGATTTTTTTTTTTTTTTAAGCTACGTTTGCAAGAGCCACGGCTTTCTGCCCCCAAACAGCGAGGAGTAACTTCACAAGCACAAGCCAAATTCGTGTTACCTTGTATACCTGGGTTTGAAACTGTGTTTGTTCTATATTGAAGCAACTGCGTACATGAGAACTTAAGGGCGGGAAATGCTTCTCTAGTTTACCATGCCTAGTGTTCTTGCAGCCCCATATCTTTGCTTCCAAATATACTTGCTAGTTACGATGCAGTGGCATTAGCACAAAGGTATTGAAGGGAATATGCTTTTATAAAAATCCTTTTAGGCTTATTGGAAGGGCTTTGAGTTTTCTTCTGGGATTTCTTAAAAGATCCATGATTAAGGGAATTGCACATTGCTATGGAGTAAATTCCAGAGCTCTCTTTTTTCTTAACATGGTACAGTATAAAATGATATTTGACATGTGAGAAAACTGCAGTATTAATGCAAGTTAAAGTAGAGAAAACTCTTGAAATGAGGGAAAAAAGAAAATTATTTTGGCCTTTTGAAAAACAGCTGGAGCTGGATGTGGTGGCAAATGACTTCTGCAAGTTTGAGGCCATCCTGGGCTGCACGGTGAACTCAAGACCAATCTGAACTATATATATATATATATATATATATATAGCCTCAAAAACCTGAACAAAAACCAAAAACAGTGGGGTTAACTTACTTTTTTTATTGGCTTTGACTTACATTTTGAAAGTAAAGTTGTATACAAATTGCTTATGTCTAACTTATTAAGACATTTAATCGTTAATCTGTTATGTATCTTAATCACTGTATTGTAATCCAGTAAAGTACATAATAGCAAATAATTTGAACTTCACATGTTTATTTAGAAAATTTTGACTACAGTAAAGTTAGTGGTAAGCTCAGGGTCTCAGGCTACTGGAACTTAAGCTTTAAAATGAAAAGTTTTCTTACTCAGTTATCTGGAGCTGAACTGTCTGTAGTTCTTTACCTGTGTGCAAACATGCATTGCTTTGTAGCAAAATTAGGGATATGAATGAACACTTTATACTTTTTAACAGAAATTTCTCTTACCATAATAAGCAGTAATAGATCAGTAAAATATCAGTATTAGATTAGGACCCTCTTCTGTTGAAGAAGAAACTCATTATTTATAACATAGATCTAAATCCTGATTTTCTTCATTACTGGGGTTTGAACCCAGGGCTTCACACTGAGCTGTATCCCACTTCCTTCACTTTTATTTTGCTTTGTGACACGGTCCTACTAAGTTCCTAGATTGGCCTGGTTGGGCTGGGACTTTCTGTTCTGCTCAGCCTCCTGGAGTGCTGAGATCATAGGCTTGCATTGCGACACGTTACCACACGTTAAATTCCCTGGTGAGTCTAGATAGCTTGAGTTGATTCAGCTGTATAGCCTGGCTGGATCTAAGTCTTTGTTACACATTTCATTGGTTTTTATTGATGTTTTATTCAAATAGAAAATGCAAGCTAAAATGCCACAGAATCAACCAAATGCCTCATACAGAACAAATTGAAACTTTTTTCATTCATTCTTTTAACGTTTATTGAATATTTTCTATGCGCCATGCAATGTAGAACATAATACAGTTACAGTGATGAGACTCCTGCCCCCAAAATGACCTATAGGGGAGTAGATAAATAAAGCAAAACTTTATTTTTGATAGGTTTCATGATTGACTTAGTACTATCAAATGCTAGGGGCACACAGAGAGGGCTACTTGTATGACTTGACCACAGGGAAGGCTTTCCATCAAGGAAGATAATTCCCGAATGCATATTAAGTTTCAGACAATGCATGGGATAAGTCAGAGATATCATTGTGTGTTTAGGGCCTGGAAGCCTGTGTAGCACTCTGTTCAGACAGCTCTGAGACCTTTAGAGTAGTGGGATGTAGGAAGAGAGGGAATCTCTCAGACTGTGGTTAGCGTGTACCAGCTTTCTTTTTAGATGATTCCTTTCTATTTGAAGTAAGTCATTTTTCCCCCTGTGCACTGGCTAAGTTGTAAATCTAGTAGGATTACAGGTGGGTTATTGAAATGGAGGTTAGTTATCTAGATGTTGACAGGCTTTTGTTTCAGATCATAACTTCAACTTTATTTTTACTTTTTAAAGAGGATTAAAATAGTAAAAAATTAGAAACCTTACAGAATTTCACTAAAAATAATAGGAATTCAATTGTTATATTGCATAATGTTGTATTCAAATTAGTTGTTTAGATTACCAGATATAAGCATGCAAAATTGGTAAAGAAAAATTATAAGAAATTAAGGAGAAAATAAAAATTTAAGCATTAAGTGCTTTTTTCAATCAACTGGCAGAAATCCGCAGTACAGTTATCCAAACTATCCTGTATGTATTACTTCTTTCTTTTGCATGACTTCAATTTTATATTGCAGGAGCACTGAAATTTTCTTTCTCCGCCTGTGCCGTCAACATGTGACTGAACAGCCTGGTACTTCAAGTCATGGTTCTTGTGGAAACCTGAGGGCTCTAAAGCAAACACAGGTCCCATTTCCAGGACTTTGTAGTTACATGCACTTGTACTTACGTCCAATTTGGAATGGAAGTACAGAGTGCTACAGGGAAGGACTGGTCATGTGAGGGGGCTCAGTGCTGACAGAGCTCATGTTCTCCTTAATGCCAGGCCGCACCTCAGGCAAAATCAGCACCTATGCTTTAAATTCCCTCTTGAGTGCGCTAGCTAGGGTTGAGAAACATGGATCTCAGGGTTTTTAGGGGCTCGGGGAAGATGTTGTGTTTGTGAGTACATGTGGGTTTGAGCTAAGCATTGAGAAGAGTTAAAGGAGCTAGGTGTATGGGGGTGCTGGTGAAAGGTTAGTTCAGGAGGAAGGGCTGCCCTTCACCTTGGATGGGGGGAAGTGGAGCCAGGGAGTGAGGGTGAGGGAGCAGATAGTCACAGCACAGAGAGCGGGAAGTGCTCTGTCCAGAGCTGGAAAGAGAGGTGTGTGCTGAAGGGATCTTGGGGAAAGGAAAGAGTTCAGCTGTGCAGGATTAGGCACCCGCAGAGCACAGCCTAAACCTCCTCTCAGCCCCTCCTGTGACCTGAGGCACAGGCTGTAAAGGGCCCTGACGAGGTCAAGTTCTTTAGCCAAGGTCTGAGAGCTCAGAAATGCCTGGGGTGACCCTGGCCCAGGGTGTGCAGTTTGCTTCACTATGTTGCCACGCTGCTTCTCAGACGGTTGTCTATGCCAGGATTTGACATTCATTAATTTTTTAGGATAATGGGAGTGAGTTTTAGTCATATTTGAATTTTAAGTTAGTTGGCGTCTCACTTATTTGTAAAACTAACTGGTGTGTTTATGAAACACTGTAAATGTGCAGACTCTCATGTTGGTTTTATACTACCTTTTTAGTCTTTTAAGATAAATTTGTATTTTCTTCTATTAACATCTCTTTGAAAAGATTCATTGTCTTTTTTAGGTGGTATTTTTATGTGTATGTGAGAAACATTTCTTTTTGGGATTTTTTTGAGACTCTGTATTTCTGTTGCAACATATCAAATAGATTCAAGGAAACCTATTCTGTTCTTAAGTATTTAGAAAGCCCTGATATATCACACCTCAGTATTTAGTAGTTTCATTGATTGAGTTCCTTTACTTGTGGGAAACAGCAATTAAATTAACAATTGATTTGGGGAAATTATGCGATGTCACTGAGTTCTAGAGGAATTATTTTAAGAGCAATTCTCTTTTTAAAGAAACAAAATCATCATCTCTTACCACAAGCCTACACTGGCATGAAGAATTGTTGGCGCTGTATTTATAGTAATATTCTGTTACAATTCACCTTAATGCTTCATTTACTACTTATGAGTGATAACTACTGAATTATGTTTTTATGTGATCATATATTTTAGAATGATAATGAAACTTGAGTGTGATAATAAGAACAATGATATAGAGTTTATGTTTTGGGCACTGTGTTGTGCACTTTGCTGCCATCCTATTGTTTGTAAACATCAGTTCGAAGTTGGCCACTTCCTTGGTGTCCCCTAATGCCTCCTGTGCAGGGAGCTTGGTCATCAGTGCGCGGCGTTCAGAGCTGGTGCCTCATTGGGTGAGGCAGGTCACTGCTTCATGGCTTTGAATGTGTAGGTGTCCTGTCTTCTGCCCTTTTCTCTCCAGCTCCTTCCCTTTTGCTTGGCTTCATGGAGGCCACAAGGCAATCTTCCCCGGGCCACACCTTTCCACCATAATACTGTCCCTTGGGGCCAGTTGGCCTCCAGCTGAAACATCTGAACACGTGAGACAGGATAGACCTTTTCTCAGTGAAGCAATGATAGCTGGATCTGCCCAGCAATGAAAAAGTGACTGATACAAATAGGGAGTGGTAGTGCCTTCTGCTGTTCCTTCAGGTGAATTGGCTGTTTACAGAAAGCACTCAGGGTTTACTGTATTGACTCTTTGTTTAGATTTTGCTAATTACTAGAGAAATGTCAGGTCAGTATTTTAAGGTATGCAGTATTTAGCTCACTGACATTAAGTGATTTCTTGGAAGTTGGTACATCTTCGAAACTATACTTAGGAGACTAGCCAGGCAT